ATCTAGTATATATAGGAGTCAAGATTGAAGGGATCCTCAATCTTAACAATTCACTTCTTATAGTCTAGCCATGACCTTCTTGCCTTGTATTCAATTATTTTTTAATGTCGAGCTAACTCCATGTCTTGGTCTTGAATCCTTATCTTATATATAGTCGTTAATAGCAAATTTTTTATATGTGCGCCACATAGTTAGCTTGTTTTATAAGCTACCAATATGTGATTAATTTGTTGATGAAGTTTCTAATCTATCAATCAACTACAAATACATGTAAAATCAAGCAACATCTATGAAGCTTCTAGGAAGCTTTTCTAAAAAGTCTTATGAAATTAACCTACTTGAATCTACTTTTACCTATTCCTACCTAAACATATAACTACTTATTAGAATACCTATATATATCCATGATACTTATTGACTATGTTTTTAACCTAAAAAGTCAATTATAGTCACCTATGAAATCAAAGCAATATTTATGAAGCTTCTAAAAAGCTTCTATAGAAGATATTATGGAATTAACCTATTTTTACTTACTTTTATCTAATCGTATTGGTAATTATTAATTTACATATGTATGTCCGTGACACACCCCCATCTCCTCTCTCTCCAATTCTACCTCCATCTCTTCCCTCTCCAATTCCATCCCTTCTCCCAACCCCCTTTAATACCACCTCTTCTTTCGATCTTCTCCAATCCCACCCCTTCTCTCGACCCTCTCCAATTCTACCTTTATCCATCCTAATTCTAATTTATTATAATTTTGTATAATTAAAAAATACATATTTAACTATACATATAAGATTGATCACTAAAATAAAACATATAACATATAAATATTTTTCTAAATGATTTAGTATATTATAATTTATTAAATCAATATACTTGATTTTATTTTATTTTATTAAAAGAAGTATTACTATTGTGATACAATAAAGCTAGACTTCTTTGTCAAATAGGTTAGAATAAAACTAACATCTTAAATTAACAAAGCATAGTAGTATTTTTTTATTTTTTTTAAAATTAATTTTTATTAAAATATAAATAATAATTTATCAATATTTTATAATAAAATGTACATATATACATATAAAAAATATTTATATGTTGTATGTTTTATTTTAGTAATCAATTTTATATGAATAATTAAAATAATATTTTTTAATTATACATATTTATAATAAATTGGAGTTGAGGTGGGAAAGGAAGTTGAGTTGAGGAAGGAAGGGACATAGGTGGAGTTGAGATAAGGGGAGTCAAAGGCGAGGACAATGGCTAAGAACAGAGAACAAGAATGGAAAATGGAAAACCAAGGACATGGGATGGGAACACAGTCGAGGACATGGAATGGGAACAAAGTCGATGACATGGAACTAGTATAATTTGAATCCATTAGTTGGAAGGAGGGTGTTGCTTTAACAAATCCCTCTCTCTCTCTCTCTCTCTATATATATATATATATATATATTTATATCTCATTAAATCTATATTTTAAAAATATATTAATGATCTTTAAATTGAATATTTTAACTTTAATGCACTTGGTAATTTCAAACATCTTTTTGAAATTCCAAGATATTTTTAATATAATTAAATTAATTTAAAATTATAATTTATTCTCTAAAATATTAGAATTTATGTATTTCTTTATGAATTCAAGATAGAAGCTAATTTTATTGTATTGGAAAAGTGTTAAATATAAATTTCAAAAAATTATGTTATTTTACAACTACATATAATATATATTTTTCAAGTCTATTTGATATTTTAATATTAATTACTAAAAAATATTTTAATTAAATTAAATTTTTATTTTATTTTATAGAATTTTTAATGTTATAAACTTTTTATTAAAAAAGTATCTTAATATTTAGATGATATTGTTTAAAAACATCAATATAACTTGAGATTATTTAAATTTAAAATTTTCTATAAAATAGATATTTATTTAGACATAATTATTTTGTGTATATATATATATATATATATATATATATATACTAACTTAAAATACATATTGGATTTCCTCAAAATTTTTACATTGCAATATAAAATTCTAAAAATATACTCAATACTTTTCTAACTATCTCAATTAGACAAATTTTGAATTTTTAGATACTCAATTTTTTTCCAAATAGATTAGATATTCTTCTAATAAAATTAATAACACTTTTTCTTATTAGAAAATTTATTATTAGCTCAAATTAATGTTTTTATCTTAAAATATAAATTTAAATTCACTATAATTTGTATATTAATATTAATTAGTTGATATTTTTTTTAAATTCTTTTTCTTTCTAGGCCTATGATAATAACACAGACCAAGATATTTACACAAATTACTCTAATTATCATATCTGTTGATGCCAATCTTGATTATCTATTATCTGTTTTTAGACAGCTTGGATAGTTTAGACCTATGTAAAGTATACCATGTTATGTATCTCTTATTATGTTTGTTGTTGAGCTACAATTTAATGGCATATTCTATTAGATTGATTATAAATTCAATCTTTATAAAATTTATTTGATTCCTAAAATATAATTAATATCATTGTTATGACATGTAATTATAATAGTAATATCTAAATATAAATTTATTTTTAAGCTTATTATTATGTATTATTTCTTTCAATACTATTGCATGCAAAACCGTAATATGTAAGTATATAGAAACAATACATCTCTCATTATACATTAAAACAGAAACACATAAACAAATAAATGTTTTAAGATCACAACCAGGTCTAATGTAATAGTGTTGAGATCTTATGTAATTTGAGATGGTTTTGATGTATTGTTTTTATTGTAGTTGCTAATACAATTGTAGTTAACCTTAATTAAAAGATATGATTCTTTTTATAATAAAACCTTCAATTAAAATTTTAGAATACATAAAATAAATTCTTGCATAATAGAATTGAACTAAGAATTTGGTGTAAATGCAACCATTTATTAAGTCTTTTCATTGTTATGTATATATGTATATATGTATGTATATACAAAAATTTGAAGAAATACAAGAAGAATTAGATAATATACTATAAAGAAGATTAGATATAAGATTAGATACATGATAGTACTAGAATTGATACAAAACTTTTAGAATCATATAAGTAGTATTTTTAAATATTTATGTGAGTTAGATTATTGTAAATTACATGGTGATGTAATATTATTGTGTAATAAAAGAAATAATAATCTTGTTTCTATGTACATATATACATGTATAAATAATTTTAACTTTTAATTTTTTAAGAAAATCCACTTCACTGCATTAAAATATGGTATTTAAACTAGTAAAAAATATTATTTTATTACAAATCAAAAAAATATATATATTACAAATAAGTTAAGCATGTAACTTTACTAAACTACTAAAAATTCACCCCGCCCTTAGGATTCACGATATTTATTCTTATAAGAGAAAAACAAAACTTAGTTTGATTTGTACAATTACCATAAGTTTTATGAGTACTTGGCATGTCAAAAACATTAAGAAATAATACAATTATTTTATAAAAAAAATATATTATTTTAACTATATTTTCTCATCATCTTTTTTAAGGTTTTGTTTTTATCATTATGTGTATAGAGTCCAGAAAAATTGTCTTTCCAAAATAAAAGATATAAATTTACTTTACTGTTCATAATATTTTATATTTACATTACCATATGGTAGAGAAGGACAATCACTCTTAAGATTAGATTGTGTTTGCAGATTTGATTTGTAGCTTCTAACATATTTGTTCTACCATGAAATGGTCATTGATTGATAGCATATAAGTAGCAATAGCCATTATTTATCTATTTTAATTTTTTAGAAAATTAACATTAAAAGAGAATTAAAAATAAAATAATCATGAAATTAAAGGTATCCATGTTCTAAAATTGCAATATTTTCTCCTTTAGACTCTTTGCTAAAGTAGAATATACTTTCATATTTTTGCATAGAGAAAACACAAACAAGAGCAAAAGTCACAACCAGCAAAATAAACCATGCAGGCAAATTAAATGATTATAATATCTACAGTCCAAAAAACTGTAATACTATTTCCTACATAGATTCACTCCTAACAAGTTGACAGTGTATGGACATGCAACAGTAATACCATCAATTCACATCTAAAGAATGCTTCTTTTTAGAAAACCTAACTGCCCATGCACACTTATTTTTTCATTTGATATGAAATACGTGAATCTATGTAATAATTATATACACTGATTTGTGTCTTCATTGAATAATCAGAAAATCTCAACAGATAGACTCCCGCATCTTTCTTGATGCCCAAGTTCTAGTAGATGGACCTTATTTTCCAGCATTGGTGACTGTTACCAAGTGTATGTCATATAAATTATCAAGATTTTTCATTTTCCTTATTTCTTTTTCTTTCTGCATTGAAATAAGGAAAATGAATATATTAGAAAAAAAATGTAGTGCAAGCACTTTCTAATTATCCAATTTTAATGCTTCAGCAAATTTGTTCACTTTTAAATCTTACTGGTAGCTATTATTGTGTTACATGTAATATTTCTTTGCGTAGGATAAAATATTCCAAATCATTACTGAATAGGTTGGATGAGAATGATGATTTTAAAAATCAAAATAAACAATCCCTTTAATTTCTTACACTGCATATCACTTGCTTTGCTCTTTACCTACATTTAAAAGAATTAAAAGAAAAGGCTTGAAAATAAATTTCGGTTGCGTTAGCTTATAGAAATGTGGGCAGAAACAAACTAAAGTTAACAAAATCATTTACGAACCAGGTAGAAAGATGTGTGTGTGTGTGTGTGTGTGTTGGAGTGTATATATATACACACCAACACACACACACAGCCACACATATATACATGACCCTTTTAAGAAGTGGATTTTAGGACCTATACCTTCTTCCTATTCTAATTCTTGTTCAACCGTATCCTTGCAATGAAAATGACTTCTGAGGCACCCACCCCAATGGTATTCAAAGAAGAAAATCAGGTAGATGTACTGAACGTACCAGGTATACAGTGAACAATTCCATGCTGCAAATTCAAATCTTATCAAGTCGACGTAGGATATCAAAGGTCTCCTTGTTTAGCTAATGAGATTCTAAACAACGCGCCATTCTCATCACAGATGTGGAACACCACCACATGCTAATATCATCAACAATTGACAGACTTCACATTTTAGGTCAACAGTCCTTCCAAGCAACCACAGAATGGACAACAAGAAGCTTCTCATAGCAAATAAAAGCCACCCGTAACCCCAAGGCCAACACAGAAGTGACAGTGGCCATGCACAAGCTGCAGTGAACTAGAAGGTTGGATTATTTATTTAATAGTTTGTGAAACCTAATACTATGTCTGCACAGCCCACAGCAAAGTCAAATAATATACAAAATCTATCAAAGGGGATCCCAGCATATTTATGCTTATCCACAAGCTGAACTTTCCTCCTCTGCTGCTAGTGTACAATCAGGGAGTTGTGCCGGAGACACTTACTTCCAGTCCAGGATTTCAAACAAGCATAACACCTCGCTATCGTCGTTGGCTGCATCTGTGAAGTCCACCTCAATGCCGAAGACTTCCAGTTGACCGACTTTTCCATCTACAAGGAGAAGAGCAAGCCATGCTCTAATCTCGGAGACAAACGGGAACAGAGGCGAAATTTGAAGGTAATCGTATGCGTGAGCTCTGTAGCCGGGTCCATCGACATAATCGAACCCTGACTTATCTATGATACAAGCCACACGCTCATCGTCACGTCTTCGGACGAGTAAGGACACATGAATGTCTTCCGAGAAGCAAATTTCAAAGCCTTTCTGCACCGGAATGGTCATCTTGTATGTCTGTGATGCAAGATGCAGTTGCATAGCCTCACATATTCCATCTGGAGGGTTGTAGATGCGGGAGCGCACGACAGGACCGGGAACAACAGCGGAGTAAACTGAAGACGAGCCCACCCAAATGTCCACGTAGAATTCCAGATCCTCGAACGACAGCTTGGGAGCTGGCATGGGCCTCTTTCGCTGCTTCCTCACGAAACTAGTGAACAGTTTGTAATAACCTCTGGATTCTCCAATTGGAAGAGAACCTCGACTCTGACATGTGGAAGGCCATTTCTGCGCACAGAGTTTCTTCCAAAGGTAGTCGTCTCTTGAAAGCTGATGCCATTGCTTCGATACGCACATGCAGGCCGCCAAATCGGCACCATTTAGAAGAGGAAAAACTACCTTCAGAACTTCTGCTGGGCAAGAAAAATCAGGCATGGCTATGGAATCTGAATAACCTAAAGTGGAAGAATTTACAAATTCAAAATTCCTAAACGGGTACCCCTTCGGAGTTAATCTGACCCAACAAAACTTCAATTCCTACTGTGCCACCGGGTGGACGACTGCATGACCGCCATGACCAAACCCGCGAGCTCCATGCTGAAGATGAAAGCTATTACTATGATCGCTTCTCTATCCTACCCACAAACTAATCTGGACTAAGCCGGCCTGGTCGTGGACAGTCATTAAAGCTGTCGAACATTCGTATCATTCAAGCCAGCGTCGAACCCTAGTATGACCTTAATTGGTTTGCTGTAAAATAGAGTCACTGAACCATTACCGCACAAAATTGAACAACGATCAAGTGGTCACACAGACGGTTGGGGATTGGACCTAACGACACCAGTAACCCACCCGTTACGCACGGCCGAAATACTGGTAATTAACCCTCGCAGAAGCTATTCCCTTCCAATCTCGATTGCCCACACAGTTATACACACACGTATCTGATACTCTAACACCTCCTCGGCATTCCCTCCCCTTGCATTCCCTAACCACGTTCAACAGGTCCCATTTCCCACTCTTCCTCTCACAGCCACATCCTCTTGTGTCTCAAATTCTTCTCCAATTTTTGCACAGAAACATCCTACTTCACACCAATCATCAAATTTCCCCTCCTCTGATCTATTCTTCATCGTTAGCATACAATCTTCTCCACTGCCACCACCGCCACCACCACCACCCCCGAACCCAGAATCTGACGAACAACCTTCTACTGAAACACAAGCAGCAACTATCTGCGGCGTGCAAACGTGACCAACCCAACAAACGTCAGAAAGAATATAATCTCGCGACACGCTTTGAAAAACAACAACAACGACAGAAGTTCAAGGGTTCAAGGGATCCGAGCTGCAGAAAGAGAGAAGGAGGAGAACGGCTCCGGCCCATTAAAATAAATAAAATCAAATAACAAAATAAACAAAACTGAGTTGGTAGCCAGGTGCTCTCGGTCAGTCAGAGTGCGAGAGAGAGAAGTTCGGTTCGGATAACAGATGAGAAAGAGACACAGACCTCCGAATAGAGGGGTAAAAAATATATATATATAAGTAAAAGTAATTGAGAAAAAAGGAAAAAGGACTGGATAAAAATGGCGAGGAGGAAAGCGAAAGGGAAGGATCTCACAACGATGACGGCACACTATTCATCCATCCATGGATTTATTCTCCTTCTTCTTCTTCGACTGACACTGACTGACTGCAAAACTGACTCTCTCTCCCCAAAATATATGACATGAATAGTGTTGTCTATGAGAATTTGTGTCACGCCTACCTCAAGGCATGTAGTTTATATAAAAAATTAAGGATTTGGGTGAGAAATTGCTTAAAGTATAATTATTTTTTAAAATTTGGATATGTATATATTGTAAAAAATATTTAATTCAGATCATGGCTTTCTCTTATTTCATATTATCTCCAAAGGTTGAAGCTTCTGAGAGATAACTTTTCTTTACCAAGTAGGAGACTATTAGAAGACTTCTAGACCATGGTTTTTTTTTTTTTTTAAATGGACTTTTAGATATAAAAAAACCTTCGAATCTATTCTTCAAAGACTCTACTTTTAGAAACTAAACATGCCTTTTATAATAAAAAATAACTTTAAATATATATATTTTTAAAAAAGGACTCTAGCTTTAAGAGATTGTATGTGGTAAGAAGAGACCATTTTATTACATTAAAAATAATAATGAAAGAATAACATGAATCACATCTTGATTATCATTTCTCCATTTCATCTTTTCACTTCCACTTAAAGTCCATTCTTTTCTTATTATCTTTACTTCTTCATCTTCATTCTCTCTTTTTTATATTTTTATATTTTTTTTAAAAACAAATTTCTTTGTTTTGAAAATTTTGATACTATAGAGGTAAAAAATTACAATTTTTTTGTTATAGTAGATATTTATTAGTATTTTTATGTAAGAATGCAATATATTATCAATATTGAAGAATTGGTGGTACTAAAAGAATAGCCTAAAAGAAAAGGATATAATAATTTATATATATATATATATATATATTCTTTTTGTGTAGTTAAAATATAAGAGATTTAAATATTTATTCTTATAGGAAACTTTGTACTTATGTAAATTATTATTTATTGGGATTGAATATAAAAAATATGCTAAATAAGAGAAGTATTTTATATTATATTTAATAATTTTTGTGTGAGATATCATATTTTTAAATATTATAAATATTATAAATATTATAAATCAAGTTTTATTTAAGAATAGAATAAAAATATCTCTATGACAATTTAGAACTAGAATAGATTGCATGATTCAAAAAAACTACTTGAAATTATAGAAAATACGGTATTATTAACCATAAAAAAGTGTAATAGAATATAAAAGTAATTAAATAAGAATTTTATGTAACTACTTAATATGGAGAAATTTGGGAATTTAGTAATAAATATTAAAAATTTATAATACATATTTATTTGTAGTAGGAGCCAAAGATAAGTTGTATATTTTAATACTTGAAAAAATAAGAAAAAGCAAAGAACATTCTAACTAAAAGTTATTTCATATTATCTTGTTTGAAAATATTATAGATATAAATTGTATCTTTTAAAATTATATATTTAAGAAGATAGGTTAACTTTATTTTGGATTATATTCTAATACACAAGAAGAGCTTGAGTGAGAAAAAAAAGTTTTTGCCTTGTAAATTGGTTAGATTTGTTGCCTATCTAATAAGACCTTAGATATATATTCTATTTTAAGGCTAAAATAATTATTTGCAATCATAGAAAGTTATTTAGAATTAGTTAATCTTTTATATGAATGTGTATTGAAAAACATTTGAAATCTTAAAGGGCATATGTATGATAATAGTGAAATATATTGAAGTATCTTTCGAAATAATGTTAGAAATTGCAAGTACTCATATTATGTTATTTAATTCATATTTTACAAAAAAATAAAAGTTTTATTAGAAGTTAAATTCATAAAGAATAGAAGATGTTGCAATAAAAATTAGATGGTGGTAATTTTAATAGAAGATAATAAATTACAAGGAGAACATGTATAAAAATAAAGAGTAGAATTGAAGATTCAAATTTGGATATTTTTTTAAAAATAATTTAAACAATTAATTTCAAAATTACTATGTATTAAAAATAATTTTTTTTAGAAAAAAAGAATATATATATATATAAATATATACTACATATATATTTAATTATTTATTGTAAGAGGCTAAAAAAAACTTGAAGCTAGAATTAAAATCTTTATAGAAATACAAACTTGTAATAGAATTCAGACATGAGTTTTTAAAATATAATGAGTTGAATGATTTAGAAAGTGATTATAATACTTTTGATGTAGATATTGTATGACATTCTGTGTATTTCAATAACATAGTATTATTTTTAAAAATAAAATAAAGTGAAAAGGATTAGAAATTTATGACTTTAATTTTTTTTTTTTCATATATATATATATATATAAATATATCTTGAAGGTTTTTTTCCTTCAATTCTTATTTTAGTGAGTATTGAATTTTAAAATTTTTTTATATTGAAATACCTTGGATTGTTTATTATCTACTTTTCATATAATTTTAGTTGCTATAATTTGGTCATAGATTCATTATTTAAAAACAATTCGATGTTTATTTTATAAAAATATTAGTAATATTAACACTAATATTATATTAAAATTTTATTTATCATTTTTATAATGTGTGTATATATTTTCTTCTATGATTTCATATTTGACTCTAATAATATATTGAATTCATATAATATTGCCACCATTGATAGTTTTATTGTTATTATATATTGGCACTTATAAAAATATTCTTACAAATATTTGAGAATAATAATCCTAAAAATTTATAATATATAATTATCCTACATACTTTAGAATAACTTAAAAAAATAAAAAAATAAAAAAATATATTATAGAATATAATGAGGTAAAAGAAAAAGAAAAATAAAGCATCTATAGAAATGTAGGGATGTTAGAGAAGATTAGATAAGATTTTGGATAAGATGGCTAATGGTGTTTGATTATATTCCAACCAGTTCTGTACTGAGGTAATCTTTTTATAGTTACAAGAAAAAAACAAAATAAATAGATTAACATAAGAATCTTTTGAATATTTCTATTTATCAACAATAGAAATAAAGACAAAATAATATCTTGTCAAAAAACAATCGAAAGACAAAAAATTCTATAATATTATAAACTTTATAATAGATAAACACATATCTTTTGTATTTTTGTGTCAAGGACAAGAACTCAATGAAAAAGCAATTTAGACAAAGGAGCCTTCACTCAAAGAAAGGTAAACAAATATAAATAAATAAGTATATATATTGAAAGAGAAACTAGAATGGCTATTGCCAAAAGACAAGAAAAGTAGAAACCCTTGAAACTAGACTGGAAGCAAGAAAGGAGTTGACAAGAGTGAAGAAGGCTTCACTCTTGTCTCTATATATACTATCTAACTAGGGGCTACGTGGTGACGTTCTATAGGACCTTCAATATGTGTTGACTTTGTAGGACACATGCCTTGACTTACTAGGCAAGTTTTTCTACGTGTGGGCCACATTGTTAGCTTGGTCTTCAAGCTAACAACATGTGTGGCACATGGCCAACTTGTTGACCACGTTTCTAATCCAAAAAATCAAATAAAGACACCTATAAAGTCAAAGCAGCGTCTATTAAGCTTCTAGAAAGCTTTCATATTAATTACTATAGAATTAACTTATTTTTATCTACTTTTACTTACTTCTACTTATTTATATATGTAATTACTGGCTTACATGAGTGTGTCCGTGACATTACCCTTCCTTCTAGGGATGAATTCCACGAGGAGCGGTCATCATATATTGAAGAAATCTATGATGCAACGAATTATGCTCGCCACATTCTGATCTTTGTTCTCTTCGAAGATGATTGATAGGGCCTCTCAACCATCGATAGTGTCCCATACCAGGGTGAAAAGACCACCCATTTATTTAATCATTGTTGAGGCCTTCATAACTTCTATCAAATAGAACATTTGGAACACCATCAGGAATTGTTCCTACTACTAGTAAAATCACCAAACATCATGAATCTCTTCTCAAGTCATGATACCAAACATGTTGTATCTCACTATCTATTCAAGGAAGAACATGTCGTTCTTGAAGATCTTCATCTCGATTGCGTCATCTTGAAGGTTGTGACAATCATAATATCTTGTCTAGCAAGTCAGCAAATAAAGGCTCTTGAGTCGAATCTGCTGATTATTGGTTTTCCATCTCCTGAGCATCACAACAACAAAGAAGCTACAAACAAGGATTGAAAGTAGAATGTTATCTTGCCTAAATGTTGTTTCTTTTATAAAGAAGGTTTTTATCTTGATTTTGATGGATTTCGTCGATGAAAAGCCTCCATCGCCTTTGTTGCATTTGCAAGATTCTTTACTGGCTCCCATGTGCATTCACTAATATCATATCTGCACCAATGGATAAGATATTCTAATTTATTTCGACGTCGCCTTGAATCTAAGACTTCTTCTACTTCAAACTCTTCATTATTATCCACTTCTATAAGAAGAGTTCGAGCTTGTCGTCTTCTAGATATGTCCACTGTCTTGTATGGTTCAAGAAGAGACACGTGAAATATTGGATGGATTTTCATTGATTCCGGTAGATATAAATAATATGCAACTAGATTGATTTGTGTTGAAATAGAAAATGGTCTAAGCCTTTGATAGTCTAACTTGTCATAAAGACGAGTAGTCTTGATATTATGATGAAGAAGCCATACCTTATTACCCAAGTGGAATGGTGGTTATTCCTTTTGATAGACATCCATATTGACCTTTTGTTGTTCTTGAGCTTCTTTTAACTACGCCTTCATTATTGCATGTAGCTCTGACAAATGAATTGCCAAATCTTTTGCAGCAGGATTATCAACTTTTGAAAAGTCAAAAGTATCAAGTCGTGGATAATAACCATAATTAGTAAA